AAAGTTGTTGTCCGTGGCGCAACGGGATGGTATGGGATATGGGATATGGCAGAAGGTTCGTTTCCCCTGTCCCTAAACTGTCCCTGAACCGGTTCAGGTGAATGGGCGTTAATGGGACAGTTGCCTCGGGGCATATCGATGCTCAGTGCATCTTCATCATCATCATCATCGTCACATCAAGCACAATGGGGGGAATCAACAAACAACATCATCAATAAGTGAAAAATACGACTGAACGAGTGTATATATGGCACAAACAGAAATAAATCTAGAATAAGCACCAACACCACCGTACCACCGTACCAGCGTACCCGTCCAATTGTGTGGCGTGGAGCGTGGAGCGTGGGGGGGGGGCAGAGCGCCGCCAGTGTAGATAGACGCGTTTTTTGTATGCCGACGTAGATTCCGATTCTGATTCCGATTCCGATGTTGACGAGGTCGCTGGGGCCTCTGATTGGGGGCACGTGAAGTCAACGTGAACACCCGCCACCAAGAGAGAGAGCGCGAATAAAACTGCGTTATTGATAATACGATTTTCGCTACGGCGAACATATCCCCCGGACAGCTGGGTCCGTCCATTTTTGGATCCCCAACCCTACTGTGTGTGCTGGCAAGGGGGGGGCGGCGTTGATAAGCACAGCACATCACTGCTGTCGCTTTCGCCTCACGATTACACCCAGCTGTACGCCGCATGGCCAATCTCATCAGACTTGTCCGTTCGTTGGTCAGTCACAACATGAGCGAGAGGCGTGGCTCTTATCAGCTGCGGTTGGCGATAAGAGCCACCACCACCACCACCCAGACGCCCCCACCAACGGCTCGACCCGCGGCATGGAGCCGCTTCCCATGCGCCGTCAATGGCGGGGTGTTTATCAATGCGGCGGTGCATGTAGGGGGGCTGGACCGGGCGTCCGGGTCCGGCTATGACTTTGGCAATGCAGGTGTTCGCATTCGTGTGGGTTCTCGTCATTCAAGCGGCGGGGTGGGTAATCTTTTCATGGCTCATCTTGGGAGTGGGTGGGAAATTTTTGTGAATGAAGCGCGGGTGTAGTTTTCGCTTTTAGTTGGGGTTATCTACAGAGACTTCCCATTCAGTTTTGATTGGAGCTTCCTGTGTGTGAATGTTCATGTGAAGTGAAGCTGTGACCTGGCACGACATTGTTCAAAGTCAGACTTTTCTATGAGTCACATTGATAAGAAAAAGTTGACTGAGCGAACAGTATACAGATCATTCAGATTAGGTACAGTACCAGCAAAACGATACCCGCAAAACAGTTACGAGTAGAATGGGAATGAATTGGGTAAGCAATGTGAAAGGTACATTCAACTATTTCTGAAGATTAAATAATAAATACGTAAGAAAACAGTCCCAACAGAACAGTAGTATACTAAATGCTTCTGCTTAATTTTTCCAAGATACTGTACCTTTAAGGACCCCTCTTTTTCGCTCCGCTACTATTTTCTACATTAAATTTGTATATTTTTTTACGAATTAAATGCAAATCTAACTTCGAGTGTCCTCTCCATAAAACGAATACCGCATTCATATTTGTACAGTCATCGCAAACATTACCATGAAGAACAACTTGTTCCTTGATTTTTTAAGTGTTGTAGAATAGCACTAAGACCTCTCTTTCATGTCATACTTTCTGGCCTTCCACTAGCCTTCCCCCAAATTCTCCTGTAATTCTCCTTCCTCCAAGGGGCACGTACGAGTATGTCTGCATTTCTACAAGCTACAGTCCCCACAAAACATATTTGCTTGTAAAAATAAATATGCCTAATCCCTTCAGTGTTATAGAAGTGCTAATTGCTAAAGAAAATATGCCCAACGTATCGCTCATCTATCTAGTTTAATTTCTCCTTTACCAAAGAAATGTTTGGTGTCATCCATTAAGGTACAGTCTGCACAAAGCATACCAATATTAGAACCAGTTCAGTGCTATTGAATATCACTGAAATTAAACGATCACCAGACAGCTTTGTATATAGACAAATCTTTCCACAAGTTTTACTTTAGTAAAAAATATTATGCAATCTCCAAATGTAAATACGAGTATCTATTTGCATCTCTCTCTGTCTCTCTTTACATACATATAATTATACCTCTGTATACCCCATTTATTTATCGAACTCATTGACAGCCAATGGCCGCGTGCACAGAAATCGCAATTGGCGTCAAATCCGGGGCATGCTGTTTATCTAACGTACTCCCAAATGGGGCGGGGGTCTGTGTGCGGTATGCATGGGGCATGGGCATGGGCTGGTCTGGGCTGGGCTGGTCTGGTCTGGCACCATGACGTAGCCAGACCATGTTTATGGGGCGTTGGTACTCGCTGCTTGTTTTGGTTCCTTCGATTCAGGCGGTACGGCCGGTGGTACAAAAGCGATTAATGGATTGCCCTTGAGGAGTACGTAAACCCTATGTGTGTGTGTCACAATGGAAACAGCCCAAGTGGGCAACGTGCTGCTCTCTCTCTCTCTCTTTGATTCGACCCTCTTTCTGGCTCTGGTTTCTTCAGCTTTTTCCTTTCTGCAAATCATTCTCCATGCTTTTGTTGACATTGTGCTGGGCTGTTTGACTAAGTGGGCGCGTTTGTTGTACTTGTTATTCGTTGGGGTTGGGTTGGGCCAGGGGAGGGAAGAAAAGTGGTTCCCCCTCTTCAGTCGAGGGCAGTCACAGTCTAGAGTCTTATCGCCAACCGATTACAGAGGAGTAGCCACTGACACGCCACGCAGTGAGTGCACCCCTCTCTCCGCATTCTTCGCATTTCATCATACATGCATGCATGACATGTGACATGGGGGCTGCCAACCTGCTTTTGGCTTTGGCTTTTTTGGGCAGGAGTGCAGCACTGAATTTTTGGAAGCTCCTCTTCCTCTCTCCACAAATAAGTAGATTTTCCACAATATTCCTTACATATTTTTTACTCTGCCGCACCCTCGTCATGCATTGCATTTCGTCATGCGTGTATGATAATGGAGCTGCCAACCTGCTTTCTGCTTTCGAGCTGGTGAAAATTACTTGGAATTTTCTTCCACACCCCATGCACACTCTCTCTCTTGTTCGATCAGGTCGTGGACATGACCGGGTGGCGTGCTCAATGATTTTCAGTATTTAGCACATTTTCTGCTGCCTGCCTCCTGCTCGGCCTCTTCTTCTTCCACCGATTGTTTGCTTTTGATGGCCTAATCGAAGCACGAGCGCAACAAAAATTGAGTTTTGTGGTTGCTGTTGTTGTTGTTGCCCCCGCTCTGCTTTTGCCCACATTTGATTTATTTTTAGCCACTCGCGACACGGTTCAAATAAACAAAAGTCAGATGGGTAGGGGGGAAACCTCACTGTATCGAAGCTATGCTATGTATATTTGTATATATGTAGATATAGTCAGCAGAAGGAGGACCAAACACCAAATAATTAACATATTTTTGCAAATTATTGATCGTGTGTGTTGGGGCCATAAATCGGATGATTGGATACTCGAGATCCCGAGTTATCTGAGATCACAACATTTAAACGGGGCATGAATTATATTTTTATTTTTATTTTATTTTTTATTGAAATGTTTTTTTATTTTGTTCATCCCACAGTCTGAGGGTTTTTGCACTTTGGCAAGGACAACGACGGAAGTGAACATCACATCATCAGTTTGTGCCTTGCATTTAAGGTCAACGCGCAAAAATTCAGAAAACGTTGAACCAAAAAAAAAAATATTATTTTGCAGTGCTGAAACGGGTGGAAAGTGAAGGGGCGCAACGAGCAGCGAGGCGTCGTCAGCATTCATTGGATGAGTGCAAAATGTAAAGCAGGCCGGTCAGATCAGCAACACAATAAAGCAAGTAGGGAAATTATATGCCAGTGCGATTATACGACCATGGAAATACCCGCTAAACAGAGTTTAGATTTAGCTTTAGCTGTAGTGAAATTTATGGGAATACTCCTTAAGCAAACTCCTTAGGCGAACTCAATTTTCTTAGAATTATCTGATCAAGATCAGATAAAATAAATAAGAAAAACCTTAATTTAATTTGGGTTCCATATCTTCACAACAGCAGCAGACTACAGCTTTTATTCTTAGGTTTTTCGTACAGTTACGTCCTTTGTCTAGAGATGACACTTTTACCCCTGTGTCTTCGTTTGCTGTGTATCGATTACACATTTCGATTTATGGATCCTAAAACGTCTCATAAATATCTTATTTATATCTTATATCTTATTGCTCATAGATCTGTAATGTATTTTTCAATGTACCCTTGAACCCACCCAACTTACGTGCCACAGCAATATCTACAGAGATCTCTCAACACTTGATCAGCTACAAAAGCGAATCTTGGGCGAGTTTGAACTTTGGAATGATGTCATTTGAGTCACTCTGCCTCTGCCTCTCTCTCCCTCTATCTCTCTTTCTGTCTCTCTCTCTCTCTGTCTCTTGCTCTTTGATTCACCTATCGCATCATGCGTAAGGCGAATGATCGCAGAGTTCCCTCCACCATTGTGATCGATCGCTGTGTGCAGAAGTTTGAAGGTGAAGGCGAAGGTGACCCTGACACACGTGAAAGCAAACTGCGCTCAAAGTTCGCCCCCCAAAAAATTCGCATTCGTCCCCCATGTTTCGGTCTGTGTGAAGTACCGAATTCTTCAAGCCAATTTCCATGGCACTTGCGGTAATCGTCAAACGACATCGCAAACAATTTCATCATCTCCTTTGTCTGGTCAACTTCGGGCGAATTTGCTATAAATAGACGGGAGATAAGCACAGTGTGGGGGCTAACAGATGGAAAGTGGAGCGTCAGAAAGGGGCAGGGAAGTCCCCCCCAGGCAGTTCTGTTAAATGGAGAGGTTAGAGGTTGGGAATTCCCATTCACTGAAGCTTGGATCCGAGGAGATAATGAATCAAAGAATCAGAACTTTTATGTAGATTAAAAAAACTAATCTCCAATATATTGCATTCCCATTCCTTTGGAATTCTGAATATTAAATTCTGCAATTTGAACTTCCCGTTTGAACTTCGCGCTTTGGACATGCTGAGAATCGCCCAAGTTGGCAGCACCATGCCTAGTGATCGTTGTAATCGATAGACGGGGTCGGAGTTTTGTGTTTACATTTTGCACTCCCAATTGTAAACAAATACGAAAAGAGTTAAGTATGGAGCAGCTCAACGAGGAGCAGTTCCTGAGGAAGTTCTCGGAAATGTCCTTTACGCACAGTGCGTTCATAGAGTTTATGAACGGGCAGCAGCCGATCATGCAGGACGATGTGGTAATGACGGCCTTTCGCGATGCAATTCGCGAGCCCCGGCATGCTCACATTTTCGCCGGCGCCACAGTGCTGGAGGTGGGCTGTGGCAGCGCCCTGCTCTCCATGCTGGTGGCCAGGCAGGGAGCCGCTCGTGTGTTTGCCGTCGACTCGGGCGATGTGGCGCAGGTGGCACGCCACTTGGTGCGCGAGAATGGCCTGGACGACGTGATCGAGGTGATTCAGGGCGACATTCGGCAGTTGAAGCTGCCCCCAATCGATGTCATTGTAGCCAAGTGGATGGGGTAAGTTTTAGTGCCATGGCACACCACCACTGGATTCTTAATCCTCCTGCTCCTTCTATCTTGGCAGCGCCTGTCTGTTGTATAGCACCGCCTTGGATGAGGTCATCTATGCGCGCGACAAGTGGCTCAAGTCGAAGGGCTACATCTTTCCGGACACGGCCAGGCTGTATCTATCGGTGGCCGAGGACAGGGACAGGGATCCGCCCAGGCATTACTGGTCGCGCTTTGCCGGCCTGAATATGTCCCGTGCGGCATGCAGTGTCCAGCATCTGCCGAAAGTCGAACGCGTGCTGCAACACCAACTGATCTCGGAGCCGCAGCAGATATGGCAAATGGATGTGCGCACCATCAGCAGCGAGCAACTGAGCTTCACGGTGCCCTTCAAGCTGCACTCGCAGCGCCGGGAGATCATCGATCTGTTTGTGGTGCACTTTGACTTTGGCTTTCCGGGCGGTACCGCCGAGGAGGTGGTGTCCACCAGTCCCTGTGCGCCCAGCACCCACTGGCGGCAGACAGTCTTTCACATCGATCAGCATCTGCCCATAGAGCCGGGCGATAGATTCGCGGGCACATTTGGCGTGTCGCGTGGCGCCAACCATCTGGACTTTGACATTGATTGGAGCTACCGCAGCAGGCTGGTCAAGATAAAGTCGCACAAGCAAATCTTTCGCATGTTTGGCGGTCAACAAGGAGCAGACATAGCCGAAGGAAGGGAAGTACAGCGACAAGCCCAAGACCCAAGGATGAGTACTGAATGGGGACTTGCCATGGAGGAGTTGCCATTCTCTTTAGAAGTTTAACTTTTCATTTTTATATTTTTGTTATACAAAAAATGAATGCAAAATTAATTTAATTATAAGAAAAAGAAACTGTTTGCTTAGAGAGCCGCCACTGCCAGCCCACATATCCCAGGGTCACTCGTCATTACGTATACGCCGCATGGGACGAACCTACCGCAATGGCGGCGGCCCCCAAGAGCCAAAAAAAGCCCAAGTACCAATTAGCAGGGGGCTAAGCGGAGAGCAGTCAAAGCGAGGGAGGCAGAGCGGCAAAGAAAGAGTGTGGCAGAGAGGCGTGGGAGGAGTGAGAGGGGTGGGAGAGTGAGGTGCAGAGAGGAGAGCAAATTCTATTGCTGCTATAAATACCCCACACAGCCGATGGACAGCGCGGATCATTGGCGGCGAAAAAGGGGGGCCGCATGGACTTTGATCAACTGCAGCGCAGCAGGCAGCGAACTTTTTGTGGGCGGTGGCCCACGCTGCGTCGCGTCGCGTCGCGTCTCTGTCTCTGGCTGTCTGCGCTGTTGACGTTGCTCCCATAACGGCACAAGAGATGTTTGTTTTGTGGGCAAGTGCAGGTCGCTCAGCAGCAAAACAAAGAAACGTTTTTTAAAAATAAATGAATAATTTTATCTGCTTTTATGCCGCTTATGCGACAGACTTGCCGAATTTCATCAGCTGTTTTAATTTATGCAAGGAGACCCCCAAAACAAAAAAAATCTCAGATCAGTTGTGCTGTGTATCTGTGTGTGTGTGTGTGTGTGTGTGTGGGAGAAAGGTATGCTCCAGTGGAGGGTAAGACAGGAGGGGCAGTGGAGAGTGAGACCCAAAGCCGTGGAGGCTGTGGCTTTTAGGCTTCCTTCTCTTTGAGGGAATCTACACCCACCGACGAGTCATTCACGAAGAGAGTCTTTCCCCACTCTCTCTGCCAAAAAAGAAGAGCAAACAAACATAAAAGGTCGCCGTTGCCATTGCCGCTGCCTTTCAGGGCTGCAGGCGCTCGCAGTGGATCTTGTGGATCGTGTGGATCATTGCACCCACAGCCAGCAAGGTAACTGCACCTTGGGTCAATGATATGCGGCGCTTCCACCCGCCAAAAAATCCCTCAAATATTCGTTTTCGTTTTCGTTTTTTTTTTTTTTGCAGCAGCAGCAACGGCGTCTGTCATTTCCATTTCCATTTCAGTCACGGGCATGGCCTTGCCGGCGAGAAGTTGCTTGACCTGGAAGTTGCTTATGCGCCACCACCTCCACACCCCTCACCGCTGCTCGTCATGTTTTGCTGTTGCCTCGTTGCGGCTTGCCTCCAGCGTGGAGTGTAATGCACTATGATTACAGAGGGAGGCCGATTCGGTCACACACAGATACACAGATACACAGCTACAGTGCTACTACAGAGATACTCACATACAGATTGTATATGTATCATTATTTTGGGCAGCTTTTGTTTGCTAAAGTCAATGAAACACTTGGATATCTAGAGCGGGCTATGACCCACGGGCAGTTGGGGTGTATATAATCGTGGAATTAAGTGTGTAAAATGCGCTGCAAAAAGGTCTTTGAAATGGGGGGATAATCTGGGAAAATTGTGCTATGTTTAGCCATCCAAAATATCTATTTATGGGCGCTTTTTGGGCTTATACTTTAAATTTAAATCGTATCAATAAGCTGCGGTTGCTTATTTCATTTTAATTTCCAATCCTTTCGACCACAGAAAGTGTGCTACATATACATACATATTTATGTATATATTTATGTACCATATACTCCACTTTCTGTGCAGATCTTTCACTCCATTTTGAAGATATCAGTCTTGTATTTTAAATCCTAAAATCCTAAAGCTGTCAAAAAAAAGAAAAGTTTTTGCAGACAAACTTTTTGTTTGTGCAGATAAATCAATTAAACGTTAAAAAAATGTGGTAAAATATGTGGATAGATGCTATAGCCAAATTTAATCAAATTCGGATGACTATATCATGCAGCTGTCATACAAAATATGCGCAAAAAAATCAATTGCTGTGTGGAAAGCATTTTCTTTATTTAAGATAATGCAACCAATAATTCATTTGTTTTTATTTATTTTATTTTATTTTTTTTATAGTTAGCTTATTTTACATGGCTTAGAAAGATTTAATCAGAATCAGAGGGAAGCATCGATCGAAAAATAAAAATAAATAAATTAAAATTAAAACTAAGCAAGCAAACAACGGTCCTGTAGCAGGACCAAGTGAGTTGGGGTGGGAAGGATTTTCTCTCTCTCTCTCTCTCTCTACCGTCTTAACCTAAGCATAATTTGCATATATGTATGTACATACATATGTAATTCATTCATAGCTATATCCAAATATTTATCAAAATCTGTTGTTGACATACCCGACCCGATGGGAACAATGTTTTTTTTTTGCTAGGGTATATAGTATTGTAAAACCTACGCTCTCCCCCCAAGGTACGCGCACGAATAACCTTCATTTTTTTTGGTTTGGTTTTAACCTGTTTTTAGTGATTCTTTTATTTATAGGTTTGTTGGGCGATTGCCGAAAATGCATTCAGCGGCAGAGAGCGATGATCAGGGATTGCCGAAAAAGTGAGCAGAAGGCAGGCAGGCAGGCAGCCAGCCAGCAGGCAGCCAGCAGGCATTGAGTGGGGGGTTTAATGAACGCAGCGAAGGTCAACGGTGCGTATACTTCATTAGCGATTAACGAAACGCAGCGGACAGCGGCAGGGGGAGGAGAAGAGACCACAAATGACCCAAGGCAGAACGGCTGCTAATCGACTTGGCCATATGTTAGCGTGGATTATGCTCTGCTAACTGGTTTTTTGTTTGGTTTTCTTTTCCAATATTTATGGCCCATGCATCCCATTTGCATAGAACACCCATTTCTCCAGGGCCCCCCACACCCCTACCCCTTTGGCAGGCCAACAGGAAGCATTTCATTTCCGTTGCTGTCGCAATTTTTTAAATCTATGAGCGTCCAATGCAAAGCAGTCGGGTAACAACCAAAAAAAAAAAAAGTAAAATTGCCATTAAAATACGGGCAGGGCAGGGAAGGGCCAATGGGCAATAGGTGCAAATTACAAAAGAAAAGACAAAAAGGTAAAGCGACAGAAAAAATTAGAGAGAAACCCGAAAATGCGGAAGTGCAGCTAACAAAATGTTTGCACAGGAAATGGAATTCTGTCAGCGAATGCGAAAAATACTTATTATTTATATACAATAGATAAATATGACGGGGGCGGTTTTTACTTATTCTTTGAACGAAACATTTTGTTAGAGAAAAATGCATTTATATTTGAATTCAGGCGCCTATTGACTAGCGCCATCTATAACTCAGCCCAAAAGTATACTCAGCAGAGTCAGCTGTTTCAGAGAGCTGCCAACTCTAGGCAATTGCTCATATATGCGTTAGCACTAACGCGTCAGCCTATCAGCAGTTGGAGCCAAAAAGTTACGAGAAGAAAGAAAAGCTGAAAATAAACCAATTGTAGAGAAATTAAACAATTAATTGTTGTAGAAAGAGAACAGATATAATGTCAGAGAGTGGAGCCAATATAAGTGTTAGCTAATTTGAGTGTTTGACCAACAAAAAGTGCATAAAACAGCAGCTGAAGAAGAGTTTAAGCCTCAAAGAGGAATTTATACATTTGTTGGGTGAATAATATTAAACAAATTGAAAACGAACAACAAAAGTGCTTGCAGTGCTCTTTCCGGCTTGCCTCTAACTGTTAATTGTGTCCCGAAACAACAGTAAATGGCCTGGCACAGTTGCAACGCGTGCGAGTGAGAAAGAGTGTGGAGTGTGGTCTCTGGTGCGGTGCCCTCCTTCCCGGGGGAAAACGTGCGTAAATGTTTCGGCGTTTTTGTTTTGATTCTTATCACGCCACGAAGCAGACGGCAAGGCATGCGAGGCAATGAAAAATAAAGTAAAAACAAAATGGAAATTCGAGCGGGAGAGACAAATGCGCGCGCATTCGTTGCTCTCATTGCGGCTCTGGCTCTCCATGCGGGCTCTCTCTCTCTGTGGCCACCGGTTTTTCCGCTTTGTGCGAGCTTTCGTTGATTTTGGAGCGAAGCCCCAACGCATTTGGCGACGCCAACCTGCTTACAGTTTTAGTTGGGAGCTTGCACTGTTCGGACGTTCAAAAGCCCACAAGCCACGCCCCCACCGACAAGGCACTGGCAAAACACGCGACAAGCATAGCAACAATTGCAAAAAAAAAAAATTACTGTAAAACCCCGAGCATCATTCACCCAATAAGTTATTTGGGTTGATAATTATCCCCCATTTGCATTCCGTTACGTTACAATATCGATTCTATTCCATTACATTCCCATTCCCACTTACGTTACGTTACGCGATCTGTGCGCGATCCGCGCGTTTTTTGTCGCCCGCTAAACGCGTCGATCGTTAAAAATTCATTAGAGCTTATTAATCGCTCGTAGCTATAGAAATAATCGCAATCATTATAAATTATTGATACTTGCGAGTGCTGCCCGTGGCCCCACCCCCCAACCCAACCCAACAAGTGTGTGAATTTTTTCCCTCTCGCTGTGTGTGAGTGTGTGAACGTGTGTGTTCCGGTTGTGCATCCGATCGCCAATCGACTGACCGACCGCCGGTAAATGTCCACGGAAAAGGAAACGAAACGGATCTGATGCAGACGCAGTAGGCCGCTTCGCACGACCGCCGTTGGACCCCCCGCCGCCGTTCGCATACAATGTCACGACGCAAACAATCAAACCCGAAGCCGTTGAATAAAGGTAGGGGTGCTAGCTATGCATAAATCTTTCAGTCTTAAAATATTTGCGCAGTCTCGTCTGGGCCAGTCTTCCAATTACCGCGATGAGCGATGGAGTTTTTGGGGGGGTTCTCCCACCCATGACCCATTCCAAAATGTTTTGCATGGTCAGCAGATCTGTTCTTTCTTATGTGTTCCCCCCTCATGTGAACATGTGAAAGAACAAACAATGACGGGGAGTGCGGGTGGTGTGCAAAAAAACGGGGGGAAAGGTAAATTATGCCAAGACAAAAATGAGACAAGAAAGTACAAAGATACACAACTATGGAATGCCCTGTAATACGTAGAAAGTGACAAAACAAAGTACTCCAATTGTGAGATTTGAGGAGAGGAATAAATTCCATTTTGGGATATATACATATTTGTGTCTGTAATTCTGGTTAGCTAGATATTGGTTAGCTATAGCTGGGTAATTGATAAATGCATAGTTTCCACAACAATCAAATTTTTATCTGCACAAAACTGCACGCCACAGTGCCCTAAAAATCAAACCAAATATAAACCAAATAAATTTTGATCTTAGAGCACAGTCGACCCTTTATACCCTACGATTACCTGGGCATTATCTATAGAGAGTGAATGTAAAACTATGCCACAAGAAAACGACAAGAAAAAGCGCAGAAAATTGAATTCAACTTTTGTGTCTCTGTTTCTGTTTCTCTGTTTCTGTGTTTCTTTTTTGTTGTATTTAAATGAAATTTCTTTGTCAACCCGTTATCGATATCGATACTTGTCGTACGTGCTGCTCTGATGTACAGCCAGAGGGACGGACAGACGGACGGACACACCTTATAGCGGCGGGGTCTTGGGTGTAGGGTAGAGACCGCTGGAGAGATTGAGATTGGGGTGTGGGGAGAGTATTAACTAATTACATTTCGCTGTTTTGTTGTTTTGTTTTATTCTTTTTTTTTTTTTTTTGCCATTTGATATTTATTTATGGCCCCGAACCGTTTGACACCCGATGAATGCATTTCGAAACCGAAATCGATAAAACGTGCCCCGGACCTGCGACACTGGACACCTCCGCTGAGGCCACGCTCCACCCCCCTCAGTGTCGAACTCACCTCACAGTTCACCTCTGGGTCCCCCCCACCACCCCATGCTCTTTCCGCTCTTTATCCATTTGCCATTTTGGAATCCTTATCGTTGGCCGTTGCTGTTGCTGCCGCTTCAAGCACGTTTCTGTGCTCGCTGACTCTGCCACTGGCACTGGCACTGGCACTGCTCATGCCTCTGCCTGGTGGTGGCCCAACCCAAAGCACAACCCACAAATGATATCAGAACGAGAGTCTCATGAAAGTGGAACCTATACTTGGAACTATCCAAGAACCAGCGCCCAGTGGCTGCAACGCGAGTTTTGATACTCTACGAGACAAAGCTGGGGGAGTTGGGGATCATTTCTTTGGGCATTCTCTTGAGTTACAAGAGTGCGACAGCTACGATAAAGATTAAGAGAGCTACCAGCAATTCTCTTAGGCAATGATTTTGGGAATATAACAAGCAGCTGCACAGCTGTCTATTATTTCATTATTATTTCTTTTTATTATTACGAAAGTTCTATATGGGAGAATATTCCTGAATTTTATAGTCAGGAAATATCTATCAAAAGTATTTTAACACATAGCACTTTGCACTCTAAAGTAGAATGGATTAGCAGGATCTTTGAGGTTTTTTTGTCTGAATTCTGTATCAAATCTAATACATATGTATATTAAATTTGTCCCTTAAATCTCCTACTCCACTCCATGAACAGCCGCTCAAGAGAGCTCTTATTAAGCCTCATATGCCATCAACTCTTATGCCGCGCACTCTCTCTTTTTTATAGGGTATAGCATGGTATGGCAGAGTGGATAACAAAAAACTTCACGACTTGCGTTCCGATAAATTAGGGCATTTATCTGTGCAGCTGTTGGCTGTTTCTGTTGTTCCTGTTGTTGCACCTGCACTATCAATGGGTTATCCCTGAGCCAACTCTACGGCTCTCTCTCTCTCCCTCTCCCACACTCTTTCCCCCTGTCTATTGTACCCTCAGTCAGCTCCTAACTATTCTGCTTTGCATATTTATCTCTTGCACACTTGCACACTCACTTCTATCGCCTGTGCTGTGGCTGCCTTCACTCTAGTACTTGTGTGTGCGGCCCCGCCTCCCACCGCGCGTTGTGGGGCGGGGTGGTGGAACTCAAAGCGCAACTCGATAAACTTTTATCACAATTGCAATAATAGCAACAACAACACAAACAACAACCAAAAAGCAGCATTTTGCGTTTGCTTTTGTTGAGGGCTTTTCGTAGTTGCTTTTACATAAGCTTCAATAACTGACATTTCTATCGGAATGCCAGAGTCTCGCAGTCGTTATCGTAGTCCCCGCTTTAGGTATCGCGATGACAACGAAACGAACGCCTTTCGGGTTCGCCATGTTCTGGCATACCCTACGAGAAAAGGGGGTATGCTGGAAGCAGCAGGATGCTTTAATATATAATTGGATAAATACCCTGATGACATTGCCCAGGGTGACCAGTGAGAGGGCAATAATGTCTAACGATGAGATGAGGATCTCCTATGATCTCTGCTAGGATTATTATTTTATTATTATTTCTTTGCGCATTTTTAAGTATATTATGAAAATTAATTAAATTACTCTTAAGAATAATCTTATATATAATCTTTCTGTATTATATAGTTGATAGCTATACATACATAACTGATAACTGAATGATTGCTTCAGTATCTAAACTGATAACTACCTAAAGACTTCTCAGTAAATTTGATATTATCAGTCAGTCTGTGTGTCTGCATCTTTTGGTCACGTACAATTATTAATAGGAATCCATCCAGCGGCCTACTTGAAGACACTTAATACTTGATGATGAATTAATTGTTTATCAATTGAATGAATAATTTCAACAGCAGTAAAAAAAACATCAGTAAAAAACAACATTTCATACAAAAAATTTATATGTTGTATATCTTTGTGGATAATGATATTGAGTCATTTTAGATTATACATTTAAAGCAGAAAACAAAACAAAAATTAATCTCCAAACATTTTGAAATATTTGTTTAAAATTATTAACAGTGTTTTTTCTTTAGTTAATTTATTATTTTATCCATGCATATATATTATTTTCCATATACTTTTAAAATGTATTTACATTTTCGCCTTCCCGCATCTTCCTTCAGTATTTGCCACCTGCCTTTTGGCCATCGTTTTCCCCTCCACTCCTTTTGTAGTCTGCTACCCGGAGGGAGTGCACTTCCCCCCCACTCCTCCACATAGATAAACACTTTTTTGTTTCGTTTTGTTATTTTTTATAAATTTTTAATTACGCTTATCACTAATTTTATGTTAATTGCCAGCTGTTGCCAGGTTGTTCTCCCAACAGCAGCAGCAGCAGCAGCAAGACACCACCAGGGAACCCATCGGAGGCCCGGTCCCCCCCCCAATCGTCATGCGGGTGACAATTTTGGCCAGCAGTCAGAAGTCCACAAGCGGCGTCTCGAAGCAGCGGGCACTGGCTGTCCTGGCCTGGGACAGCTTCGCTTCGGTTCGCTACGCTTTATTCTGTGTGTTGGAGATGGGTCTGGGGCTGGGTGCACTGGGGCTCCCTCTTTCTGTCATATCTGGAATCGGCAGCGGCAGCGGGTACGTGTCATGAGGTTTGGATGAGGTTCGCTTTGGCTTCGCTTTGCCAGATAAGAGAAGCTCTGGCTCTAACTGCGTATTCCAATTGCAGTTTGCAGTTTGCAGTTTTGCTGCAGAACGATAAAGCCACGGGGCTGGCTCTCTCCTATCCTCTGCTCTGCTCTCAGGTTGCTGCAAGCCAAAGCCACAACCCAAGGCCCTCTCTCTCCCACTCTCTGTGGCAGTGTGGCTCTGCTGTCCATTTCAATTGGCAAAGATAATCTCGAGCTTTGGCCATTTTGACATTGTATTTTAATAATTGCGATAAGCTTTTCCACTCACTCTCCCTCTCTCTCTCTCTCTCTCTCTCTCTCTCTCTCTCTCTCTCTCTCGCTCTCTCTCTGTTCCCCCTCTCCCTCTATGTTACTCTCTTTGTTTCTCTGCCTCTGTCTCTGTTTTGTTGATTTGCTTTGGTGCATTGGAATCGCGTACCAGGAAATATCAGCAGATAAAAAACACCAACACCAACAAAAGTAAATCACAAAACAACACCAAAAACCAGAACAACAACCAGAACAACAACAACAATATAGAAATAAAAGTTTTGTGTTTGTGGTCTGACGACGCTTATGATACCCTGGCAAAAAGATCGCTTCTGTTGGAAAAATACCCCTAAGATATCCATAAAATTTTTATGAGCTTAAAAAAACACTTGGAACTAAATTATGGGTCAAGCATGGTTGAGTATGGGTCCAATTTCGTCACAAAGATGGGAGAGACAATATATTATTTTTGTATGTATTTATTCAATATGTTTTCTCCACCTAGATGTGGTTTTTAATTTGATAAGTGATAAAACCTGTGAGATATGTGTCCGGTGTGCAGCTAAACGAAGATAGTGTGAAAATTTGCAGGAAAATATATTGAAAATTGAGGGTTGGATCTGCAGAGAAAAAGATATTCAGTCAGGAGCATATCCCAGGCAGAAATCCAGAACATGGATCGACAAGTTGAGGCAGTTGAGGTTCTTTATTATATTTTCTTTATTATTGCATTTCAAGGGTAGATTCAACGTTGATTCATCATAGATATTCCCTTTTTTTCCTATCTGCAATCTGCTCATCATAATCAACAGACTATTATCTTCCCACAACCAGGGTATATACAAATAATATTGCATTATTAACAAGCATTACAAATTACAAAATGTTTTTATTTTCATTTGTACTTGTACTTTTTTTTTTTTTGTCAGGGTGTAGATATATTGTGGATGTTGCTGCTTTTGTTGTTGCTTTTTGCTTTTGTATTTATTATCGTTGTTTTTGGCCAGCAGAACATTT